AATTATTTCAAAAATACCAAGTAAAATTACAGGAAGCTCCCACGTTTTTGTTTAAAGTAAAAGAAAATTTGATATAATTTTTAGAATTGGTGATGATTATTGCAGGATTTGGAAAAATGAAAACGAAGTAAGCATTAACCAATATATGAAAGAGTGTGATGAGCGTAACAAGGAGACAAATTTATATGTGGCAAAAAAAAACGAATATGTTGAAAAGGCTAATGAAGTAGTAAAGAAATTAATAATTAAAGACAAGTTTTCCACCAAATACAATCCTCATTACATATACACCATATACATTAAAGACTAGTGCCGTAAATTTGATGATGGTAGTAATTGCATTTACGGCATATAAAAAGTGGTCACAATTACCTTTGCGACCACTTTTGCAACCATACTTTTTCCTTTTTTGGATTACGGCACTAGTCTTTAATATACACTCATTTCACATCTTATAAAAGAGCAATCTGTTTTTTTTTGCTGAAATTGATAAATCACCTACAAATCAATACTGAAAAAAATTTAAAAGCTGTATAATATATGAAGCTGAGAAGCCACACCGACAAGTAGTGATTTTGAAATATTTTCTAGAAAAATGGTCTTGTGTTGGTCCCAATAAACAAGTTGCTGAAACAGATCTTGAGAGAACTAAAATCCTCTTAGATATTCACAAATTGATATTTGCAACAATTAAAATATTTATGATGTAAAAATGGTTGTAGAATTAATTTTATCCAAGAAAAATATAAATATGTTATTTCTATTTATTTTTTAATAGTTACTCTTTTTAAAATAAAATAAAAATTATCGTGGTCATGTAATTTTCTTGACTCACGTTGGTCACGTGAGGTAATGTCAAACTCCTGAAAATGTATTATTAATGATTACGAAAAGCAAAATACCAATTGTTTTTGCTATCTTGATAAGGATCTTATAATTACCCAAATATTAATACAAATTAAAAAGGTGCCTCTGGTTAATTATTAACAACCAAACAACATCACTCACGTTTTGTCATATTTGTCAAAAATTAATAATAAATTGTTTTTCCAAGGAAAAAAAATCAATTCGCGTCAAAAATTTGTACAACACCAAATGCCAATAATAATTTTTTTTTTAATCATTTTTAATCATCATCCATCATCATCCATTTTTTTTTAACCTTTTTACAAAAATAACTAAAGTGACGACGAGATAACCACCATTCATTCTTATGATAAACACTCGTTTCTTGTTTCAAGTATAATTTTTTCTTTTTATCTTCTTTTTACTTTATTAATAGCAGACTTTTTTTTTTATTAGAAAAGAATGGTAAGAATGGTAGTGGTGGTTGCGATGTGGTAATTACTGATCCGCAACTAACTTTGTACTTTTTTTCACAAATGGTAAAGGCAGGAGTATGACAAGATATTTGATTCTATAAAAGAATCCATTAGCAATGAATTCGGATTTGAAGCTAACGATATAAATAGAACACTTCAAATCAATAAAGAAATTAAAAAAGATGGAATAAATTTTATAGAAAATTTTATAAATGAAATTAAAAATAATTTATTAGTAAGTTTTTTAAAAAAATTTTGTTTATCAATTGCTTGTTACATGTTTCTAAAAATTTAACCTTTATTATTATATTATAACATTCCTATTGTAGGATGGTAACGATGTAAGTATTTTAAAGGCATTCTGCTTATTGTGTTTATTTAAGTAACTTACATCACATCAACGTCTACAGGGTCCAGTTGATAGAATAAGGGATGATAATAATGATAACGGAATAAGCGATGATGGTGGTGATAATTATTTAAATCATTTAAGTAGCCCATCACCAATACACATGAATACTAATGATGACGATAGAATAAATGATGATAGTGACTAAATATGGGAACCGCAACCGCAATTCAATTTTTATATGTCGCAATTAGTTGCAATTAATTGAACAGAGATAAATCAGATAATAATAATATCAACGACATCGATATCAGTAATAATAATATTAATGGTACAGATAATAATAACACACAGTCTTTACCATCATCATCTAATAACAATATTTCAAAATCATCATCACGAAGACACAAACCTGATAATAAAGCATTAAGCGAAATCAGGAAATATCAAAAAACAACGAAACTCCTTCTCCACAAATTACCGTTTTCAAGAGTAGCAAGTATTTAGAAGAAATAATAATTTTTATTGTTATATTGTATATATCCAATTCCTAAAAAATATATGTATATAGTAATTTATATTGAAAATCACAAAAAAAAAATTCATGACATCACTTATTTTTTGCTTATTGATTACTTGGTTGGATATTTTATTGAAAAGAACTTTACTAAAGACTTTCCGTACATTAGTTTGCAGATCAAAGAATTTAGCCGAGAATTAGAGCAAATAAATACTGAACTACTTAGTAAAAAGGAAATAGATTTATCAAAATTTTAACTGCCACTAATTATGTCCGTATGACTGATAAAAAGATCTGATCCTTTACTTCCTCGTTTAGATTGAATCAATGCTGATACTGCCCAACCAAAAAAAATCTTTTGGGAAAACATTCCTATTGGTTTTTGGTGCCTTCATTTATGATTAACTTGATTTTATTGGTTTTGTTGTTTGGTTCCAAGAAAATGTATGCAATGGTCTATAATCATAGATTGTAGTACAATGTTTGATGATTTACTAAATTTTGACCTCTGAATTTTCTTTGTAAAATATATCCATATTTATATTTGACTAAAACATAATCCAAGACAGAATAGTATAGTAATTATTAAAAGAGACTACAATCGTACGTATACTGATTATTTTAACGGTTAAATTAATTATCGTTTTTTGTTATTATTTGCTGACACCAAAAAGGCTTTACATTTGTTGTTGAAGATATATTTAAATTACTGTTTAGTTTTGATTTTTAAGAAAGCCATTATTCTATTATTGGCATTTAATTAACAACAAAAATGCTAAAAACACATTTTAGACATTTTTATCTTGAATGGTTATTATTTGTTATTATTTTGATTGGTATTTAAATATTTAATCTGCAAATTAGAAAGAATTATCATTTGTCCTTTTTTTTTAAAGCCACTATCCTTTTTTAGTAGTGATTAAAAAAAAATTTTCTACACTTTCAAAAGAGTCTTTGTTCGAAATTAATCCTGTTTCCTTTTTGGTGATACTCTCAATCAAATCCCCTCCACATTTTCAAAAAAATCTTTATTCCCATTTTTTTTTCCAATTAATGGTGACAGAGCATCTTTTTTGCATTATTTCAAAAAGACCTGGTCGATTTCTCGTAAACAATAAGAAAACCAATCGCAAATTATCTTATCCTTTTTACACTTTTAAAAAAGTCTTGATCGTTTTTTTTTAACAATGACCAATTCTCATTCCTATTATATTCACGTAACAACTTTTTAATCATTAAAATAAATAATAATATGGTTGGCTAATTGGACTCTTTGAACGAATATATAAGTTATCGAGTCATGTGTGATTTTATAATAATATTGTGACATCATAGAATATCATGTTTGAATAACGTTGCGTACTCATTCGTAAACTCGAAATATCTCTATGAAAAAAATGTGGGGACTGCCGTCCCATTTATATGTTTCGAATTTAATAAAATAGACTATTGTCTTGACCCAAGTGATGTGATTTTTTGGCTCCCTACTACGAAGAAGACGCAATCCAAATCCCACTTGACTTTAATGTTAATATGATGTTAAAAAAATTTGTTTTCGCGTGCATGATTGTGTACTACATAATAAATACAAATATTAAATAAAGGGGTTGATTGAATACATTAATTTCTCGTGAATTTCGTTTTAAGAATGTGATTTTGGGAAAAAAATCAGGCAAAAGTCTATTTCTACTGGGTGTTATATGATTTCCAACATCAGAAAATAAACGTCTGATGTTGCACTCATACAAAGATATTTTCTTGCCAGTTTTGACATAATAAGAAATTCATTCTTTCGTTCATTCCACCATAGAAAAGGGTCAACAGTTCTTGATGCTGTTGATAAGCTAAAATATTTTCCAAATTTGCCTTGCTCTTGCTCAAATTGTTGCAGATTATCAAGTTCTTCTTAGTGGTAACCTTACGCTTCTTGATTGAATAGATCTAGTGATTTGTTGTTGTCCTTTCCCTTCTTGTTGTTTTAATAGGTTATACTGATCTTTTAACGAATTTAAGATTACGAAAATCGTTAGAGATGTTGTGCCCATGGGTTTTAGACTATAACAGGGTAAAGATACCAAAAAATGAATGTCTCTCACAATGCTTACGTCATTTTCAGAGACATTATTTATGACCACGTTAACGATTGCATGGTTCCATGATAAGACGACCTTTCATTACGTTATTCATTACTAAAAATTTCGGTCCTTTAAAACGCGGCGGGTCTATAATTTAACGAATTATATAAAGTTTCAACAAGTCTTGATGTATTTGATTTTTTTCTTCTTCTTCTTTCACCTATTACTTTCTTCTAATAAACTCCACTTCATTTTCATCAGCTTCTTCTAATAACGGTAACGGATATTCATCGCTTTCTTCTAAAAGTTCACTACTATCTATTGGTTCGATAAGTTTGTTTTGAAAATCATTGTTATCTTCTTCATAACAATGAGATTAATATTCATGAATGAATATAGATGTGACATGCGTATGAAAAAAAATGTCAATGTGCATGATTTCTTTCGGATCATACAAATGACCCATACATGAGAATAATTCCTATTACTAAAAAAAATGCTATTTTAATTTTTACCATGTTATTATTGATCATATCATTGATATATGGTATTTTTAAGAAAATGACAAAATCAAAAATTTGACCCCATTTTGTTAAACTGGGTAGAATTGATAATTTCATCTCCTATTTCATCAGCTTGCTTCTAAAAGAAATTGGTCCATTTTTTTTTTTTTGTACAAATTAAAAATGCCCAAAAGATACCAATGATGATAATATGGATATTACGATTAATGATGATGGAAATGTGGGAGACGAAAATAATAAAAATGATTATAAATAATAATAAATTTATATTCTTAATAAAAATGCACAATGAGAAAATTTCATGCAATTCCCTATCTCTCTCTCTCTATCACTGTATCGAATCCGAATGGTTCGAATGAATGGTACTAAAAACAAAAGTTTATTTATATACGTTGATCTCAGCCAGGTTGCTTCTTAAAATAAATAACAGTTACACAAGTTCGATTTTTACAGCAAAGTCGGAATACACCAACTTAACCAAATTTACTAATTATAAACTTTTCAATAGAAAATTAGTCCCACTTTGTTCATTTATAATAAAAATTATTTATAGCTTGATAACATACACCATTATCTAATTATATAATGGGTAGATTCTGATTGGATAAATCACTTATAATAGTTTATTTGGTTAGACACTTCTTATCCTTATTATTATTTATTAATGATCATTTCCACCGCCCTTCAAAAATTAATATTTGTATCATTATCATGGACGACGAAAAAAAGACACGGCCAAGATCAAGATCTCTGAATTTTCGAACCGGAACTCCCACTACAACAAAAAAAACCTTGTCAATTCAGTTCTTACTGAATTTAGAAACAAAACTTTTCCCTAAAGATAATAATAATAACGATAATTTATTTTTAAATAATCAATACACTAAATCAAAACGAAATAGAAATCTAAGCCCAATACCAGTATTTGGACCACTTTTAGAAAGAAAACGTTGGAGATGTATATCGTATTTAATTGTGGTTGTGATTATTTTAGCTTTAGTTCAAGGTGTTTTGATGTTTTTAGATTCCTCAGCAACATCAAAATTCCATCAACTACAAATAGGTTTGTTTAAATTTAAATTTATCATAATGGTTTTAGGTTTTTGATAATAATAATTAAATTTCATTGTTTAAATTTCCTCCCATAAACAATTAAAAAAAAAAAAAAAAGATTTCCATAAATTAAAGCCAATAAGATACATTGACATACCTCCTATGACGACCCAAATGCTAGAAGGTAAAAGAATCTTTCATGTAACTAAAGAATATGGGTATGCAACAATAAATGAATTAGGCCATGCAGTTACAGACCTCGTACGTGCTCAAGTTGTTAGTAACGCATCATTAGATGTGAATGTAATAATGCCATTATATCCATTTTTGAGGGGCTATCATAATTTTTCTAGATACACAGAGTTGGCAATTGACGTTCAAGATGATGATGGAAGTATCGTACAAAGTATCTTTACGGCACGTAGCTATTCATGGAAGATAGGCATCAATAATGATGATGGTTATGGTGATTATGATGATTATGGTCAAATTGAAACTGAAACTGAAACTGAAACTGAAACCAACCCTGAACATATTAAGACTGTGAGGGTTTATTTAATTGGTCCAGGGAGATCTAAAAGATCTTTTAATTTGGCCCATGAATATAGGGAAGGTAATGATATATATCCAACATCAAAAACATTGTTGCAAGAATGGGATGACTTATATTTCTGCAAAGCCGCAGCAGAATTGATAACCTACATAAATAATGATGTTGACGCATCAATATTTGCCACGAATGAAGAACAAGGTGTTGATTTGGTTCACGTTCATGGTGCAAGGAATGCGTTGGTGGTTGAATTTCTTAATGATTTCAATGCAGCAAATAACAGATTTAGTAGACCACCACCTGCCATTGTATATACAATACATGATCATGTGGAAGAGCAAGGGTACTCAATCAATCTCGAAAGTGTTTTAAAATTTGTAAATTTAAATGATTATATGCTTGAAAATTATTTTCATAACAATCATATGTACACATCATCATTAGCAATAGATCAAGCAGACTATGTCACGTTTGTTTCATATAAAATGGCAAAAGACATTGTTGAAAGGCCGATGAGTTTTTCACTTAAAGACATGTTGATGTTTAGTATATTGAAACGTGCTAGAGCAAGAAATTGGATTGGAATAAGTAATGGAGTTGGTCTTAGAAAATACAATCCATTTAACGATAAATTATTGATTGATACGCAATCAAATTTCCCCAAAAACATTTATAATGAATCTTTTATGGACGAAATCGAATATATCAGCCTCTACAACGATGGCGACGACGAGGGCAATTACAACAGTGAAAGCGGTGGTAGTGATTTGATCGTTTCAGCAAAATATAACGCTAGAAAATATTTGATAAAAAATGAATTATTGAACGAAAAAGATTTGGATCGTGTGATTGTTTTGTTTGTAATTAAAGTTGGACGTGATAAAAGCATGCCATTTGTTGATGATGCGGTTGAAATTATAACACAATTAGGAGCAAAATTTATAATAATAGGTCGAAATGATGTTTCTCTTGGCAAGCACACGATTAAACGTCTAAGAAAAAAGTATCCGGATGATGTTATGATCATTAATGATTTACGAGTTCAAAAGAAAATGGAAGTTTTGTATAGAGCAGCAGCAGATGTATTATTTGTGCCTAATATAACCGAGGATTTTGGATTAGTGGCAGTTGAAGGATTATTGTTTGGATCGACAGTGGTTAGTACAGGGGTTGGAGGATTAAAAGAGTTTTTGATAAACAAAACACAAGATACAATATCGCCAACAATGACATTATCATCGTCTTTACCTCCATCAAATGATCTGAGTGATCAAAATGATAGCTATAATTCATATTTATTTAATTTGTATAAGGAAGAAGATAAGTTTGATGTGTCTATTGAAGAGATGAAAAGTGCATTAAGCAAATCCATTATTGATATGACAGAATGGTCAAACGATCTTAGGGCCAAAGAAGTGCTTTTGAGAAGATTGGTTAATGATGCCTTGAGATTGAGTTGGAATAGGCCTGATGGACCTATTGATCAGTATACCAAGGTTTATAAGATGGCAATTAAAAAACATCAAGACGATTTAATAAAGTTAACTCCTAATTTGTCGTAATTATTGTTTTATTTCGATTTCAAAAATAGATTTAATATGTACACACATCTAAGTTATCGTAAATATTATTATTTTATTGTTTTGGTTTCTGATTTTTTTTTATTTTATTTTTATTATTATTATTAGCGGGCGATGAACTATGTTAGAAACGTTTTTTATCTTGCAAATCTCACCATACACACATAAACATACAAGTACATAATTGTTACACACACATTCATGTATTTTTCATTATAAATAATTAAAGATTTTTTATTTTTATTTAAATAATAATTTAGTAAAAAAAAAAAATTTTTTAAATCTTAATTCATAGATCGTAATCTAAGCTTAGAATATGATGGATGATTGATTATTCGGTAGAGATGGTAAAATTTAGATGTGATTGTTGTTTTTGTTGTTTTGTATTCATTAAATTACTGATATTATTGATATTATTGATATATTATTGATATTATTAATTAATTAGTATATAATGATAGATTTATATAATAATAAAATTAAAATTAAATGAATTGCCAGCAATAAAAAAAAACTTTATTATTTTTTTCCAGTGATGATGATTAAATGAGTATGTATGAATAAAAAAACTGTGCGAGTGATTTATATTAAAATGTAAAGAAAATCGATAATAATGATATTATGAAGATAAATGCCACGAATATGCCAACTTTTTTTTTTTTGATTTTGCCAAATTTGAAAACTAACGCGAAAGATATAAAAAAGATGTTATGAAGAGAAATTTCGTTTAAATGATAATATGAAAAAAAAAAAAAAAAAGAATTGATGTTAAGAAAAAAGGAAAATATATAAAATGAAAAAGATGAAAAAGATGAAAAAAAAAATGTAAAAGAAAATTCATTGTATATTTAAAGCCAGAGAAAAAAAAATTATTTACAATAAAAAATATAAATATATATATGTGAAGATGATAAAATGATAGATGATAAAATTATTATATGAGAAATTTTTTTGATTATTTTTTTTTTTTTTTGAGAAAATAAAAAAAATCTAATTACAAAAAAAAATATATTCTATATTGTGTGTGTGTGTGAAATGAATTGTCTATTTCGACTTTCTATAATAATAATAATAATAATATAAATAAATCATAATTAAATATTAATTGAATTAAAATTGTTATTATTGTTTGTATTGTTGTTGTTGTTATTATTATTATTATTATTATTTATTAGAGCAGCAGTAGCTTGGGCACAAGGAGCACCGCTATCAGATCTAAGGTGTCTATTTAATGCATCAAGTCTAGCAAAAGCTCTACCGCAATGATGACAAACATGAGGTTTAAAACCCAAATGTAAATTATAATGTCGTTTGCGATCATGTTGACGAGCAAAAGCTCTCGTGCAACCTTGATAACCACAGGTGAAAGGACGTTCATCTGTATGGGTGCGCAAATGAGATTTTAGGTTGTATTGACGAGTAAAAGTTTTTGTACAATCTTGATATGGACAAGTGAATGGAGGTGAATTGGTTTTTGATTTACGTGTTGAACTAGAGGAAGATTGTTTTGGTGGTGCCAAATTCATTGTGTGTAAACATTCTATCATGTCAATTGGTAAAGATTTATTACGATGATGATGAGGTCTTGTTTTTGTTTTATTTTTTGAAGATGTAACATTTGAAACAGAAGCAGATCTTGGCTTTACAACAAAATTTTTGTTGATGGTATTGATATCACCATTACCATCATTATTGTTGTTGTCTGTTGTTGTGATAATTAATTCGTTGTTATTATTTTCTTGAAAATTTGAAAGTTGATCATAATCAATCTGAGGATTTGTGATTGTTAATGTTGGATTAATTGCAGAAGACAACGTGTAAGAAAATAGTGGCAATTCGTTGATGGAATTTTCATCTTGATTGTTGTTAGTGTCATTGTCAAAACTAAAGGCCAAAGCATTTATTAAATTTTGTTGTTGTTGATCATCTTGAAATTGTGGAATAAAGAAGGAAGAAGAATTGTTTTCTTCTTCAATATATTCGATTAATGAATCGGTTGGAATATTTGGACTTGAGATACTTGAATTGGTGTCACAACAAGATAAATGATCATCGTGCGAACAAGATGATGATGAAGAGGATGAAGGAGACGAATAATAATAACAAGATGATGGTGGTTGTGGAGAATTATCATAGTCTGAAGTTATGGTGGGTGAAGAATTGTAAATTGTAGTTAAAGGTGAACTAAAATGTTGTTGTTGTTGTTGTTCATCATTTTGATTAAAAAATCCCATCAATGGAAAAATGCTGCTGTAACTTTCTTCTCCAATTCCTTGATCGATTATTAATTCAGATTCTTTTTCTGGTGTGATTGTAAAATAAAATGGTAAATATTCTTGATCAATTAATGGTGTTGTTGATAGTGATGTAGTCATTGCTTTTTGAATTTTTATTGTTGTTGTTTTTTTTTTAAAAAAAAAAGTAAATTCTTTTTACGCGATAAATTTATAATAATATATATATATATATATATATATATGGAGTATACAATATAATATATATGTATGTATAATAGTATGTATAAATATGTATGAATATTGTAATGTAAAATATCTACAAAAATATTTTAAAAATTATTTTTAAGGCTTTTTCTTGTAAAGAAAAAATTTATAATTTTCTGAAAAATTATTTTAAAAAGTTAAAAAAGTCAAAAAAAGATAACACTATATATAGTTTTTTAAATATAAAAAGTATAAAAATAAATAAAAAAATTAAGGTTGAAATTTGATTAAAAAATTGTGTGATTTACAACACAAACAGAAATTCTAAATTGGTAGAAGATTTAATGGTTGCTAAAAATAGATCAAATAAATGCACAAAAATAATTTTAATTTTTTTTTTTTGGCGGGAAATCAAAATAATAATATAAAGTAAAAATAATTAATAGTCTTCCAGATGCAATAAAAAGAAACAACTAGAACGTTTGTGTGTTTATGAAAAAATACGTTGTTGGCAATATATATATATCCTTTTTTTTTTTTCTTTTTGAAAAAAGTAACGAATTCGAAGGATGGTGAAAAGGTACAGAATTGTTGGGTTTTTATCTTCAAAATTTTTTTGATTAAAATAATATAACAATATGATGATAATATAATATAATAATAATAATAGTAATAATAGTAATAATTTATTATTATTAATATAATATATAAAAAAAATTTTTTAATTATATTATTTATAATTAGTAATTTAATTAGATTGACAATTAGTTATTTTTGGGTTTAAATAAATAAATAATTAATTAAATTATATGCATTAAAAAAAAATTAAATTTAGAAATCACAGTAATTATTTAATAAATAATAAAATGTGATGTCTGAAATTCAACAGTGACAATATTAATAATTATTAATTCAACAGAATAACGGCCGACTAAAAATAAATCATCAAAAAGTTACGAGAACAAATTTGTTTCCAACAAACAAATAAAAACGGTTATTACATTAACTATATATAAAGAAATATATTCATAAATATATAAATATTTACCAATTTTACTCAACTATTTATAGTTCGCGATTCTCACAAATTATCCGTCATTAAAATAATCAGTAAAAGGATTGGTAAGATTAGATTTAGATTGTAAGAAACAATTCATTTCCTCTAGGATTATTAAATTGTTAAAGATAGTAAAAAAGTCAGGAAAGGAGAATGCCGATATTTAGTTTAGCAAGAGGGGAGAAGGGTCAAGATTTTTTCCCTTTAAAAAAAAATCAAATCTAAAATTACGACGTAATCCTTCCAAAAAACGCAGAATTTTTTTTTAGTATTAGCAACAAATTTATATTTTTAGTAAATTTGGCTATTACAGTTATATTAATGACATCACATAAACTTTAAACTTCGGTGGGTAGTAATACTAAACAAAAGTTTTTCTTCTTACATAATTATTAACATATGACGATGTATGGTGACGTTAGTATAGTAACAATCATTATAATAATAAACTAATGAACTAACTTGATAAATTTAGTTACCAGAAACTAAAATAGAAATTACTCGGTTTCTCCGTGGCCTCCTTCTCCCCATGCCCTCTCCTTTTTCAATTATCTAATAACAACAGATTTCCCGCCCTAAAAATAAAAAAATTTTTTAATGTTAAGAATAACGTGTCGATGATCCTATTTTAATATCCGATAGTAATAATATTTCCGACAGAAAATTACACTGACCGCAGTTACCATTCATTCAAATCAAATATTGATAATGTGTAATACCAAATCAAGGTATTTTTAGCATAATGTACGTGTAACCAAACAAAGCAACCAGAATCTAGAAACAAAACTTTTTGGTAATAGATGGATCCAAGATGGATTTACTTAATTTAGTAAAGAAAAAAGTTGTAAAGTTGAAAAGAATAGGGAATGAATGAATGGGAATGGATGAATGAGAAAAAGAAGGAATTGGGAAAAATAAAAATTTTTAAATTTAATATTTAATAAATGAAATATGTAAATTGAAAAATTTGAAAATTGACAACAAAATAAAATAAAAAACCTTTTTTTTTTTTAATAAATTTTTTTTAAAATTTAACTAATTACTAATTGTTTAAGATGAAAAAAAAGGAAATGAATAAATAAAAATTGAAAAAATTTAATAAATAATAGTTTAAAAATTTTTGTTTCTCATTATTATTATTCTTATATTTATATTTTTTCTGGGTATATATGTTGTATATATTTTTTTTTTCTATTTTCGAGAAAGTTTTGTTTCTTTCTATGTGATTAATGTATAGAAATGTGGTACACATGCATGGAAAAATAGAATATACATTCATGGGATTTTTGTTTTTAAGGGCCAATTAATTATCAAGTTAAAAATAAATGCAAATTTGATCACAATCTACAAAGAAACACATGATAATCAAATAAAAAATGAAAAAAATGAAAAAGGAGGTAAATCTTTGTCATACAAACAAATTAACAAATATATTCAAAAGTGATATTTGAGAGTTATTTTTTAATTTACCAGGATTCTTATTTTGTACAACTCGAATAATATTATTTTTGTACAGCACATGATATATTAATATTATCATCTATTTGGTTCACACAAAACAATTGAATTATTTTTTTTTTCTTTTTTAAATTCTATTTTTATTTTTTTTCGCTTCTAGAAAGATTAATCATGCTGGTATGTTTGTGTGTTATTATTTAGACTGCGGTCCGTGAGAAAATCTCTGAAAATAGATTTTTTCCCAATGGAACGTAGTTTTCTAAAACAAGTAGCAAACTCAACGATCAATTCATTTTATTATTTATTATTCTCCAGATATAAATAGCAAAAAATCAGTCATTCATTTTTTTATTATGTCGCACCGTATATACTTTAATCTAATTTTTTAAGATTTTTTATCAAGATGGAATGTAATCTTTTACCAATTAAGTTGTTATATTAAATTCCCCATTCATAATATTCAAAGGCACCACCGACCTTATTAATTTGGAAAATAAAATTACACAATTCAAAAATCTACTAATTTAGAAGAACCGTGTGTGACACGGGAATTTTCAATCATTCGTTATCGGGAAATGACTTATCATAAAATAATAATAACGATTAATTAATCTTATTTAGTTCGGTGATATGAAAGATAATTTATTGATCAATTTGCCGATAAAAAATATAACAATTTTCACAATCATTCTTTATTATATTTTTTTTCTTCTTAAAAACGTTTAATGAATAAAATAAAATAACTACTGGCTTATTTATAAACGATTTGGTATGCTGCAAGCATTAAACCAATAAACATTCATCACCTAAATTTCAAGAAATTGAACATGAGAAATTACTTGACAATACCAACAATATTCTCGTGATATTTAAAAAAAATTTTTAATATAATATAGCAACAATAATTTTTTTTTAAAAAAAAAAAATTAATGATTTTTCTTATGAAAATAATATTTGCTAATCGTTGTATCGTTCGTTGATACTCTTGGATTCTGAAAAACAATTACAAAGACCAATTGAATTGAGGAAACTGTGTACTTTGATTTGTTCGAAAGAAATGGATTATATCGTCTTTTTTTTTTTGGAGCCCAATTCTTACCAACCTACTAATTACGTCGGATTTGCTCCTTCAACACATTGTACATTGGATTTGGACCATCTTCTAGATATCCGCCTATATCAGTGCATGTATTTCTAAGTATTGGGACTATATCTTCCCATAATCATCGTTACCTTCATCACAAAATTCAAGTATCAAACAATCCCTAACATTATACAGCACCGCATCATTCATACAAAAAATCACCAATGAGCGATTTTAATTTGTAGCAGATACTGTCGTTTAATGCACATGGAGGGATTTTTGCCAATATAGAAACTACAATGAAAGCCAAAAGCGTATGTGGACAATATGGAATGCATGTTTGTCATGTGTCCACCAAAGATTATTAATTGGGAGTTACTTCATCTGAATTCACCAATAATATGATCGTATAATTTTTTACCTCCTTTTCCTCAACATGTATTGAAATAGTACCGTCACAATGGAAGCGGTGAATGCGTAGTGGTAAATTTACCCCTCTATCAACAAAAGGATAATATGCCGATTGTTCTTGAGATTGATACATTGCATAAATATACCCCATTTCCAAGGAATGTAACTATCGAAGATATCTTGAAAATCCTCAATAACAAATCCTTTTTCTTGGAATGAGAAATGGGAATCATTAATGATTTCTGAGAAACTTTCCCCATACCAAATTTACCATGAAAGAAGCACATCAGAATTTCAAATATGCTATATACTTTCAAAAAATAAAGCTAGTCATCATCTTTCCGCCATAATAAAACAGTATTAGTATGTGAAATGGTATGCCTAAAGCTTTACAAAGATCGACAGGAAAATTATAATTTAAAACAATAATAAATCTTAATCCATCCAAAAAAATTTTAGTAAACGGAATGGAAATAAAGAATGTTATTGTATAAAATAAACAAAATAACCATCTTATCGGCGGAAAATTCCCCCGTGACTAATTGGTCTCAAATATCTTTCATTTTGTATTGTTGAATATTTTGTCTCTCGCTTTATCCATTATTATTTTTTGAAATAATAAATTTTGAATTGATAATCCATATTCGAATAAACCATTACAGTCAAACCTAACCTTGCCACAAATCTCACCATAATGGATTTTATGAAGCAAAATTTTCAAAAATCCGTTATAACGCGAATTTAATTATAACCCGCTGTGGCAAGGTTCTACTAAATTAAAATTTATCCTTTGTCTGTTTAAGAGACCCTTTAAAAACCAAAATATCGTAAGAATATAAATAAATTGAGTATAAATATGAGAAAAGATAATTTAATTTACCTACCCTCAAAGTCAACATAAATGACGCTGCAGCGGCAAGTTTG